AATTAATTCCGAATTGGATATGCGCCTTCAAAATAGCCCGCGCTGCTAAGACATATCAAGTCGACGTCCACGACCCGCAGTGCAACGTTCAAAATTAATATTCAGATGACCCATTTAGCTTTTGAGCTTGACATACCCTATCCTGCCCGAAACCTGACCACGTAACTATGCATCAGAGAACGTGACGTGTAAACACATCCATCGGCTACTGAAACTCAGCCGACAGCGACCCGACGTGCAAACGAGCCTCAGGTCGACTTGAGGTTTATCTCGGATAAGGGTTTAACAGCAAGTTTGGACGTTATGCATTTATCTCTGTACAAGTGACGACGAAAATACGACTGCCAGCACGGATTCGTTATTTCTTTTCCAATAATCAATGCAAAAATCTGTACATGCGAGCAAAGTTATGTAGATCGATAGGATAATATTTTTGGAGAAGAATTTTGGAATGTTTTCAAATGCCTATTCAAGTGTTTCTTCTCAATTTTTTTAAACCGCATAAAATGTAAATGTGTATTCTCATTTTGGTTTTATTTACGCTCCGTCAGAAGCATGTGACAACGAAGGAATTGTAGTGGAATTTCATTTCTATGTAGATGCGAGTAAGGTTGAAAAAAAAAAAATAAAAAAAACTGTCGGCGAACATTTTCTACCACCAGGATTAATGCATTGCATTACGTGCTCGCTGCAATCGAAAAGATTCTCGCGGTACTTCCAGTGATCCGCGAGCGATAAATCGCATCGGAATGTATTAGCGTGCAATGAACGTTCGCAGCTGGCATAGCTGGAAGCAACAGTTGTCGCGCGCTGCGAAACTTTGGCTGCGGCATTGGAGATCACGATGCTCGATTGCAAGCAACGAGGAAACGCGACTGCGGAATGGGTACAGTTCCCTGATGAAGTTCTCCCGGAAGTACAATGATCTCTAACTCGGCAATTCGCCTGAATTACCGCAGTGTACAGTGCTTCAACGCATGTCGAACGCGCGCTTAGATTATTCGCGCTAGCTTCGAGATATATTGATTTATGTGTGGCAGAGTTAATATTTTGAAAATATGTCTACTGATAATTTTAAGTATAAAAATCAAATTAAAATAAAATAAAGACGTATAGATCTCGAAATGTGATATTCGCGATGGATAAAATTTGCAATGGCTACAATGTCAATTATATCCCAAGTATTAATTTTAGAATAACCGATTTGTTAATCCACTCTTAAATCTTATAAATATCACATGGATATTCTACGAATAATATTACATTAATGATAACAAAGATATATTACTCGTAATGTATTGCTGCTAATTTCAGATATAGTGCAGTAAAACTGTGAGTATGTATATACGTATATATTATATACCGTGGATAAAAAGTGTCGTAACTCGGAAAGAAAGAGCTTCGAACGTACGACCGTGTAACTTTTTTCATTTTTAAAATGAAAAGAATATGCTTTCAGAGTTAAGCGATCCATTTCACAGGGTCTTGTGTATGTATAGCGACTCATGAATACAAAATTTATTGTAATGTTTTACAAAGTAAGAATAACCAACATGCAATACGCTATTATTTATGTATTTCCATTGTGTTGATTTCAAATCTATTTTAATTAAGTTTACAAATAAACCATTTGTTTCACGTGTATGTTTACTTTTCGGATAACAGGTCGTTTTTTACTCACGTTCGCTTGCCAGTCGAAACGCAAATGTATACGTTTTTATTAGCAAATGGAACTTGCACTGCAAAAAATATCCCACTGCACTACATTCAAAATATAAACAATAGCTAATGAAACGCGTTGCTTTCTTCAAATACTTATTCAATTGATGTTATTACTCTCGCCTATGTTAATACACGCAACATTTACATATCAATAATAAAAAACAACTGTGTAATAAATATACCTGACCTCTTTTATTAATTTCTATTTAAAAAATAACTTTTTATTGTTTTGCAAAAAGAGAAAAAAGCAATAATTGATAAATTAAAAAGTTTTTAAAACAATGTTACTAAAAAAAAAAGATTACTTCGATTTCGAAAATATCAATTTCGAATAATTGTTGCCAAATTAGCAATATAAGCAATGTAAATTTATAAACATCGTAACAAAAAGAATTCATTTCAGAAAAATACACGTATGATATTTTTAAACACAGTAATTCCTTCTTTCAGCACGTTTAATCTAAATGGCTGACGAGCTTTTTGATTCCATTAAAAAAAATTGTTTCCGATAAAAGACCAATTATGTAAATTCCCCTTATTTATCGTTCCGTCCGCACGTATTAACTCTTTCGTGCAACTCTTTCAAGATTTTTAGATAGAAAAGATTGTATAGCACACTAATAATAATGACGAAATTATTTAACGTACGTATGAATATTAAATTTGATTCCATTATTTGCATCGAATGTTTCATGCAACAATAATTTACAATAAAACAACGCTTCGAATTAATTTTTAGAAAAATTTACAATATGCCTGCAACATTTTTATATGGATTCTTTCATTAGCATTCAATTTCATGTTTTTGGAATTTACAGATGTGGCAATTTTAATTTGTTTAAAATTCTTTTTATTTTTGCGTATTTTTTTCACTAGTGAATAATGCATTTTTCGCTGTGCAGCCAATGCAGTCTGAACAGCAAATATGCGGTTCGTTTGTTATAATGCCGTGGCGTCAGCTCTTCTAAAAGATGACAGTACGTCCACGCGTACTATCTAACCGGAAAGTGTTAATCAAATTGTTGCAATCTGCAAGTGCACGCGAGTAGCTACTTCGCGTAAGCAGCTTTAGCGCGCGCGGAGTTTCCGAACTCATTTATATGTACACGCACGCGAGAAAACGGTGGCCGAATTCCAAACTCGCAACAAAAATACATTCGGATCAATGGTTTTCGGGAAAAGGGATTGACTTATAAATTCAACGAACTGCGCGTCGACTTTGGCAATTTATATGTGCGAAACCGTCGCAGCATCAGCTATCAATTGCTCACCGAAATTAGAACGCAATCGATAAAATACAGGATACTAACAATCTTGACCTAAGAAAAGATACTTATCCCAATTTGCAGAAGAAATATTCCACCGGAAACTATTGACATTTTGATATTTTAACTGTTGATATTTTTACCGTGACATTTGATTGACATGTCATCGCAACTAAAAATTAAATTTGTATAAACCATTATTAACTGAAACAAATAAAGGCTATAATCTAAAATTGTCGAATGTGAAAGATATAAATATATAAATTCAAATTGATGAATAAGATATAAATATGAAGTTGGACAAACTTCGGTTTGGCCAGCATATTACTGAAGTGAGTGTATTATTTTCGCAAATTAAATTTTATTCTGTTAATTACAAAAATAATTAGTACAATTGACTTTTAATTTAAAATTTAAATTTAAGCTACGAAAAAGATAGCATTAGCACTAATTTACGTTAAAAATTCCAGCGCAGACGTGGCCAGGGAGGTAATTTTAAATTGTACCAAGTGCTCGTAAATGGCCTTAATTCTGGAGTATTCCGCGCAAAAGTGGCCACAATCAATATCTGCCATGCATTTGTTAATGATTTATTTCTGTTATAAATCGTCCGCTATTTGCTATCTTTGACATCGACCGCTTTTTTTTCAAATCGCCGGAGCAACTCGCTGATCGCGCGTGTTCCCAATTCACGAAATCAAATAACCCGAATGCGTAGAAAATGATTTATCATAATGCACACTCGCCGTTCATAATCGCGCTTTATTTCATTGCTGACTAAATCGGAATTTGGACGTGCGAGCGAGCATAAAAGCGCGTCGCTTTTACACGTCGGACAGCACCATTGAATTGCAAATGCTTTTTTCTCCTGCGCACGTTATTTATTCGTTTTTTTTTATCCCTCCGTCATTTCGATGCGCGAACACCAATTGCGATGGTCGGGAGGATAGATTGACGAAACAATCTGTGGCCGTCATCATGTATTTTGATGTTGTCGCGCGTTCATCGATCATCATTATTCACCCTCATTTGAATAAATTACTTGTTTTTGTCGCGCGTATTAAAAACTAATTAATTCTTACGTTTTCGCTCGATTTTCTCGAGTATTATGCACGTACATTTATCACGTGTTACTCTTGCGATAAAAAAATATTACGCTTTTTCAGAGGACGATATAAAATTTATAGATCAATAATTGGACCACAAAACTGTCATGAATAAATCTTGAAAAACTCTTTTCCAGTACATTCAATAAAATTCTGACATATTTTAAAAATTCGATTTATATGAAGTGTAGTTTGTCAAAGCCGCCATGTGCACGGAGAATCTACATTTGAGAACCGAACTTCGAAACGTGCGCACATCGGAAACCATAACCGCATCGCGGAAGCGGTCAACTCCTATAAAAGCCTGAAACCTTCAATCTCCGCCAGTTTACAGCGGCTGCGACGATAGCCTCTCGTCGGAAATGATACGTTTCGGAGCTCGTACAAGAAACACCGATAATTACACACTGTTATTTAAACTGATTGGATTTCACGTGTATATATTTTGCGCCAGCAAGAGACGCTGCCGGGATTTTATTTTGCTTTCAACACATTAACGAAGTTAACGCGAAATAATAATACGTGCTGCAAATGCTTTTACATCGATAAAACTGTGCTGCACACATTAAGTTATAAATAATAAAATTATAATAATAATTGTGTTGAATTTCAAATAATAGGATCATAAAAAATAAAAAATTCCGGTTAAATTTTAATGCAAAATTATACATATGGATTTTCTCGTAAAAAAAATTGCAGGTTTTTACATTTAAGAACAGTGATATTTAAATAGGTCGCCATGCTTAAAAAAGCAAGACCCTCTTATTTCGGAGAATATTCTAAAATATCTTAAACCGGCTTTCGGCGAATGTCTCGTTAAAGATATATCTCGCGACTATTATTCCTTTTGTCGCCGCACGAAGTTGTGAGTGGCTCTTTCTCTACGGCATTGTAACTTCTGACTTACCTTCCACGAAGAGGAAGTATCCGTTAGGATTGTTATTTAGTATCCGAAGCGCCTTAATCGTCATGTCGGTCAGAGAAGGATCACCGGTGTCGTTCGTGTTCCGGTCGACGTCAAAGTCCATGTGAGAATAGGCGAAGAGACCTGCAACAAAGAAAGTAAGTTCCGGTAAATAATTGAATTGCATCGGATTACATGGAATCTTGTTGACAAATAAAGAGACGCGAATAAAATCAGGCGCACATAAAAAAATTACGACACCGTAAAATCCAAAAATAAAATATAAGAACCAAGAAGTGCAGGAAGAAGGCTTGTATTATTTCAGAAAATCTTCGTATAATCTACAATAAATTATTTTTATAAAACAGGACAAATCTGACTGATTTAACTGATATTCTGTAGTTGCTGTTTTATTTTTTTCTTCACAATTAGTAATATTTTGTCTTGTTTCCTTCATCAAAGTTTATTTTAATATTAAAGTTTATCACTTTCATTGCTCGACAGTGTTAATTAATTGTATTCGGCGTGTTAGAAACTTAAAATTTTGCTTCATTGATCAGCAATTAATTACTCTATCTTATTAAGCTAGATACACAGAGAAATCATCAGTGGCAATCGATTGGCGTGATACAATCCTATATTCCGAATGTTGAATGTCTAATAATTAACACTGATTACTGGACTAACAACAGTGTGTAATTAATACGGCACAGCGACCAATCGCATTACGCACATCTACAACACGAACGATTGGTGAAATTAAATTCTTGTAAGCCATTGTAATGCTCATGTACCCTGCGATGGATTCAAATTCGTAATTTAACGCATGGGTTTTTTATGCAAATTAAACCGTTAATTAAAGATCATACGGCGCAAATAATAGTCGCTCGTTGCGGTTTAAGGGATTATTACACAGTCTATTCACTTTATTAAATTTTTAACGCAAGTATTTTATCTCTGTAAAAGAAAAGAATAAAAATCAACGAATCGCTAAAAAGTAATAAAAAAATTTAAAAAGTTTTTATTCTAAAATTTAATATTTTTGAATTTTGTATCTGAATCAGAAACTTTTTTAATCCTTTGAAATATTTGCGTTAATTCGCACAAAATATTCAAAAGCTTAACGCAATATTTTATATTTCAAGAGAGTTTATTCCGGGTATTTGTGAAATAAGAATTTTGTAACATAAATTTTAAATTTAAATTTTTTTTACATTTTACTAGCTATTTTTATATAATATATATTTTATATAATATTATAAATAGTAAAAAAAAGTAATAATATTATAATAAATAATTTATAAATTTTATAAATGTAAAATTATAATAAGTTAATAGTGACTTTCATACAAATTTAGCAACACATACTATAGCACTGTGTTATTTATCCACAAAACATAGGCCTGTATTCAAAGTAAACTACCGCCGTATGTTGTGACATAATTAACTAATTAGGTGTGTGTACATAATTTCAGAATATTGTGAAATTATAATGTTTACAAAGTAAAGTGAGATAATTGAGAACGTTCATTCTACAAAGGGTAAAATAATTTGACGGCAATAATATTTATAATTTTTACAAAATAATTAAAAATATTATATACTTAACGAGTATAATTGGAGATTTAATGTTTAATGATTATCAGAAAGTTGTTGGAATATTTTCAAATATTCGAAATAAAAAAGTCAACCATTATATTTATTTTCAAAAAGTTACTTTATTGCTCATTTACTCAGTAATTATTTTCTGTAATCTTATGTCACAACAGCACGTAGATTTTCCAAGGAAAAACAATGCGTCAACGGAGCCAGTATAAATCTTACAAAATACGAAAATAAAGATCTTGAAATGTGCGATTACTTACCTAATAGTCGACTCACTTTATCCGGGTCTATATTTTCAAACTGCTCCTTGTTGGCAACGTAACTCGCGGGAATTTTCTTCCGGCGAAGATTTCTAGACCATTCTTCGATCAGATTTCGACCGTCCAGTCGTCTGCCCTCTTTATCCGGCTCTTCCGGATCTACAGTCACCTTTGGTACGAAATGACGTCTGCCACCACCAAGCACGACCTGTAACGATCACAATATTTTGCATTTAAAGTGTGCAAATGTCGATTGTTATTTTGTAATGTTTTTTATTAACAGATTAAAATGCAATTTTGTTCGTGAGAAATTGTTCCAATTTTTTATTATTTTAGAAAAACTCCTCAATAAAAATTTTAACAAAAAATTTATTTGTTTAAGTACTGATAAGAGGCGAGAATAATGGCACTTCATTAGTGCGACACCTAGTTCTTAATTTAATAAAAATCGATAAAAATTTTTGGTAAATAAATTTTTCTGAACTTTGCCCGCTTTGTCGGACAAGATTTTTTCTGTCACTTCGGAAATTTTAAATTTACCCAAAGCGCCATACTCGTCGACTTCTGATTTTGTGTATTCCTGACGCTCTGTGACGAGGCGCGCAGAGCCGACTTTAATGAGAAAGAAAGTTTCGTCTAAACTTCCACGGGTAACAGCGCTCCAATAAAATCACCCACGAAGTTCTTTGCTTCGAGGCAAAAACTCTTTTCCGAAAAATAGCGTCACAAATTATTCCGAAAGGTAAAGATCGCTAATTAACTCCGTCGCACTTAGTGTCTCCGCTATGACGCACTTTTTCAATTTTTTATTATATGCAAATGTAAAAACTTAGCTCGTTTGGTACATAATTTCGAGACACGGTACGCGGTATTCGCAATCAGATATTATTAATGACTGTTTAAATTAAAAAACTGACCGACACAAATATTTTTCGAAAAATAACTTCAAATCATAAAAATTTTCTTTTAAATGTATAATGGCACAAATTAAAAAAAGTATATTTTAAAAGTATATATTAAAAAAGTATATTTTCTCTTTGTTTTCATAATTTGATCGAAATAGAAAGATCGTGTGAAACGTCGTGTGATAAAAGGCGCGAACAAGCAGCGACATATATGTTTTATGTCTATCGATAGAAGATAAAAGGCGCAATAAAATGTGATAAAGGAGACGAACGCGTCGCGATACAGAGTTTATGTCTACTGGTATATATGCAGATAGAAATAACTGTGGAAACCTCCGTACGTCATCTGGCGAATGTAATCGTATCGGACAAGCTTTACATCTTCGACCGTCGCACCTTTCAACTTGCCCGCAAAACATGGACGGGCAGTAAAATACCTAAACATTTTATTTTTAGATTCTATTGCAAGAATAGCCTCCGCGTCTCGGATAAATGTGTTCGTTCGTAGATAATTCTGTCACTCGGTGAATTACTAGGAAATTCGTTAACCGAAGTTTTATACGGCTTAAATAAAAGTTTCAGAGAAAAAGCGAGAAATGATCAAATTAAACTTAAATAAAGACAAATAAGAACTTGAGTGCAGTTGTTTGAGGCGCATAAATAACTATAAGTTGTTTATGAGCTACGCGTACGTTCGAAAACAATCGTATTTAGTTTCTTATTCGTGCCGCGCTTTATACTTATCGCTAGTTTCAACTTTATTATCAAGAACTACTACTTTTTAAAGAACTTATCAAATATTATTTCAATCCTCAAAGCGGACTTGTGGATTAAAAATGTCCAAGCGATTTTAACTATCTGAGATTTTGTTCGAAAAACAATGAAGATCAAATATTCAAAATAAACTGACTTATCTAATTTTATAATTTGGGCATTTTATATAATTAACATTTTAATAAACTTACGTAAATTTTTTAAGAATTTTTTTGAGCACATTAGGCGCGGAAAAAATAGATCACACAAGTGCGAACTACGTTGACGGAAAACAACAGTCCGTTCTGAGCATTAAATATTGAGATATTTAAACGTCTGCAGTTACGAAGAAAGTTAACAGAAAAAGAGTATAAAGAAGCAAAGCGCGGAGGCCAAAGCGCAAAAAATTATCATTATTACTTCATATTGATTGATATTAAAAATTGTTTGCACCGCTCCGCGCTTTGATTCTACAGCTTTTTCCTCTCATTTTCTTTGTTGTTATAGAACCACACGTCATTCTACTCTCTGCAGTTGAGAGTAAAAAATTTTGTGATATCCTAAAATTGTTCAAAACAATTCTTATCGAATGAAGACTGCGCGCTCGAAAGCGCATTCGAGAAATACACATGACACAAGAATAATAAAAAAGCGTGAATTTCACAACGAAATATATCGATTCCCCTCGGCTATCAAATACCGAGAAGTTTCCTAAACTTCATTCGATGAAATATAGTCATCGAACTTACTATAAAGTGCAAAAAGTACCATATATTTCCGCCGCACACGCGAACGCCGGGATATTATTACGTACAGTGATGTTACGGCCGGGCTCGTCCTCGAGCAGCTGACGCGCAATGTCTTTGCAAGAGGGACGTGCAGCAGGTGGCACCTTGCCGTCGTCCTCCCAGTAACGGCTGACTGCATGTGCATAAAGAGCCGCCGGTGTCGCGTGTGTTACCCTGGTGGTTGTAACCAGACCCGTCGATTTGCCTGCGAACAGAAAAATCAAATCCTCGCGGTGAATTTCACCGCGTTTCCTCCTCCCTGCCGCCTCTCTTCCGCTAAATCTCTCTATCCTTGTCTCTCTCTCTCTCTCTCGAGCCGCCCTTCCCCTCTCTCTTCCACCCCCACCCACCCCCCTCATCCACGGCTTTGTTCTCCGCTATGGCGAAGTTCCCGGCGTCGTACGTGCTTTCGTAAATCACCCGTTCGGATCCTCGCGGTCGTTCGTATCCGCGCGTCCGACTTTATCGCGTTTAAGCGGAGCAAGCGTGCACCGCCCGCCACTGACGTAGGACCCGGAAGACAAATTCCCCGAGTAGCGACCCCGGAGGCGAATCAGTACGATTTATACTTCATTGGAGGGGGAGGAGGGGGGAGGCAGAGTGGATTTTAGAATGTCGAACTGAGCGCGATGGAGCGAACCGCCAGGCGTATGGGGATTATTACTGACGAAGTCGGTCGATGTATTATTCAGAGGAACTGTATTGTACTTAATGCGCCGCGATTACGCTCAATCGCTGGGCTCTCCCAAGTGTCAATTATCGATCGAAACGCAAACGATGGATCCTAGAGATGATAGCGCTCGAAAAATGCTTAACGTTTTGTCGCGACCGCACGTCCTCTCGAATACGATTCCACGTACTGTTTAATGGTCTCATTGTGTTCCGTAATTGGAGATTGGAATTCTCTCTCTCTCTCTCTGTTGAGAACGTCAATTAACAAATAAATAAAATTGTAAAATAATAAAATTTAAGCATAATTTTTTAAAATAATACCTTTCTTCTTTTTTTTTATTTTTCATGTTATATCTCGTTTTAACTTATCAAGCATGTTCCAGTATTGTCGTTACAGACTTTCTTTGCATCATTATAAAAATAGTTTTATTAATAAGTAAGTAAATAATTCAAAAATCTATTTTAAGTTTACAAGTATTATTTGACATATCTAAATGGAGCATAGCGCATTTAATGATTAAAAGTAGCCACGTGATGTTTGGGAAGTCAGCCATAATCAACGAATCGGAGCGCAGATACACCGCCCGGTTGGTAAAATCGCATTTTAATTACACGAGTGTTCGGTGCAATAATCTTGGCAGCCGTCTCGAAGCTTTCGTTTAGCGTGAACAGATTAAGGAATTAAGTTGGCACGCAGTGCTTGTGCAATGTGTGCAACGCTCTGCCAGGGTCAGTAATTACGGAAGTGGCTCTAACGTGATGGGTAGTTCGATGCTAATCGAGCTGAGTGTGTCGATGCGTGGTCCTTCATTAAAGATCCGCGCAAGGAGCCCTTTGATCTTGATATCTCGACTCAAAATTATCATCACACGGTCTGCATGATTCACGACGTTATTTCTCTTTGGAACTTTCGAGCGATATTTACTAATCTCTCTAAAAGATGAGATTTTGATATTTTATGCTGTTACCAAATTTGATTTGAAGAAAAATAAAGTCACTTGTGTTTCGAGTAAAAATGTAACTCACGGCAACATTAAAATACTCATTTTTACGTTATAAAAATTTAAATTAAAAATAAATATCAAAGATAAGTGCAATGTGTTAGACAAAGCTGATGTCATGCTGAAAGCTTGATAATTTTAATAAATTGAGTGTATTATATAAATCAATATAAAAATAATAATATAATTTATACAAGTTATTCTTTAAAGAATTAGAACGCGACTTTCTTGCGACGACAGTTTAAACTTTTAATTATAAAAATGCGAAGAGTATTAAAATTATTATTTCAAAATTAAAACTGAATTACACATCTTTTCTCGCATCTTTTGTTTGAAAAATTAAAGTATTTTGGCAAGTTCAGCTTCTGGTAATAGCGTAAGGATACTACAGAACTTCGTTTCTTCGTTAACTTCAAGTGACTTTGCTTTAAGAGGAATTTAATTTGAGGCTTAGCTACCGAGTTACCCGAAGTTTCAAATTGAAAAGTTGTGAAAACAGATGGCGTTCGGTCGAATTTTTGCAAGGAAAGTTTTCAAAATCGATCTTGACTTATTCGAGGTATATAGAAAGCCGAATGGCCTATTCTTAACGTTTGAATGGCGAAAAAATTCAGTCGACGCGATCGATCTTCTTTTTATGTGTATCCATAAATTGCGAGACGCTGAGGGGGATCGAAATCTTCCACGTCAAGATGTTCTCGGGTCGAAAGTTCGCGAACGTAAATATTCCCGCGGGATCATCCGCCAGATCCTTCGCGGTCGCTCCAAATTCGCTTCATCCTCTCGTACGAAACCCGTCCGATTTCGTAGGTCGCGCACGACCCGCGATTTAAGATAATAATTCAAGGAGTTTGGAGGCACGGGGTGAGAACTGGCGAGAATCTCGATTCGCCCCTCGAGATGCGTGAAATGGACTGTAGTAAGTCGCGCGCGCGCGCTTGCAGCGCGAGGCAGCATCCCTATTCACGTAACTTTCGCATATGAAGTCGCTTTAATGCGCAAATTACTCTGCGAAATCGCGGTACCGGGAAATAACATTCCAAATCTCCGAGATTGCATCTAACACAGTATAGATGCCTCCACCGATTAGATATGGAACATCACATGTGTCGAACAAAACTCCATTTGAGAGAGTCAATGTTTGATGATAGCGATAATTACGAAAAATATCTCCGCGGCAATAAGTTTATAGATATCAATATCAAATCAAATTTTATAAAATCGCAGTTCTCTCTATTCCACGAAAACAATAATTATTTTTAAGGTGATAAATAACCATTTCGGCCAGCTTCAATTATCACTTGTCTTCGTTATCCCATTACTTTTCCACTCTCATTCGTTTTTAATCATCTATTTCTTTCCGCTTCATTGAACATCGATTTTTTTACCGCTGCGGTATGTCATCTCGCGTTGCAACGTTGCGGCCGAAGAACGTGACAAACCATCGACGGGAGAGCCAAAAAGCTGCGGCGCGGCCGCGCGGAAAGCCGAGCGGTGTCAACGGCAAACGGCGCGCGATTAATCAGCCTGGCCATTCATCTTAATGATCGCGCCAAAGCAAGCTCGTCCTTTCATGCCGCGCGTGTACATACAACGCCGACGGCGCCGCCGGCGTCGCGCCGGTGCCGCACGTGTCAGCAACGTGTTCGCATATGCCGCGAGCTGCGCTCGGTCCTCTGGCAATGTGTCAACTACTCAAAAACACAACGCCTCTGTTCGTTACTGTACGATACGCACCCGTTGGAAACACGTCGTGACATAGCGCAACGTCGCTCCCGAGAAGAAAGAAACAGGAATGTGAAGAGCGTTCGACATTTTCTCGTGTGTATATTAAAAAAAAGAAAAACCGAGATAAATACGAATCTATTTTTTTTTTTCTTTATCAAAGTAATGCCCTTTTACACTTGTTACGTCTCATAATTCACTTTTCTAAGCCCTCATCAAAATATGATTTATCTTTGCCGACAAAATCTTTGCTCGTTAACGGCATTCTTCAATGAATCATCGGGAAAAATCGATTTCCTTTTTTCTTTCGGCAAAGTTCTCTCTCTCCTTTTTTTTTTTTTTATATTTTGAAACAGAAAATAATCACACGAAGCCAGCGCAGGACTAGAGAAGGGCGAGTGATTAATTTCTTCGATCGCGAGCAGCACAAGCTTTTGTAACTTGAGCCTTGTGCATCGATGCGTTGTCGTGAACCTTTAGACAATTTTCCACGCTTTTTCTCTTTAATCGCTCCTCGCTCAATTTATATGAAATGGTAGCGTAATACTCTCTAGTAATTTCGACACCCTTTCGTACAGCTTAATCACTTTAATCTATAATAAATTTGGTCTGTCACAGCATTATCGAGAATATATTGAACGTCCATCAGGATCTACTAGACCTAATTTCGGGTTTACCACTTTCCACTCAAAACTTCTCTTTTGAACAATTCTAATAAGGATTGAGATTTATTTTTATTTTTATAATAATTGTTATTCGTTAAACGGCTTAAAAATATAAAAAGAAGCATCTATTGCAACCGGATGATAAAAATCCTGGTATATCGAGGATTAATCGCTCAACCTGTGTACAATCCTCAATCTCGTGGGGCATCAGGTGACACTGTGCTCTCATAATTGACAAAACGTCCGTGCGCAACTGTATTTTCAATGAAACATTTTTTACCCATCAATACCGAGGTCGTGCGAGCAGAAAAGCGGTAAACTCTCTGATGGGATGAATAATGAAATAAGGGCGGCAATTGTTTGTTAAGTAGCTAACGAGACGCGTTGGAATTTACATAATGCCGCATGCAGCTCATTTCTACATATAATGTTTATTATTTATTCAAGGGCCGCGCGAAATTCTCCAACATCCGCGCACTAGCTCGCCGAAGCAAGAAATTATGTTGCGAGCAGATTATAACGCGCGCCTTGTTTGCGTCGTCGCTTTTTGCAGTGTCCAGCCGTTGCGAGCAACCGTAAGCAATTACTAATGACTCAGGAACGCCGGGGTATAAACGCTAAATTCGCCGCCATCGCCAGCACGCCCACTCGTAAACTCACAATCCCGCGGTAAAAGCAATTACAACGGTATCGCCGATAATTACTTCTGCAACAGACACCCAATAGACTACCCTCGATGTATATATGTACACGCATATTATACCGTCGACAATTCTGATTTAGCTTCACGGTTCGCGCCGCTTTAGCGATGGCGTAATAAAACGCCATTATGTACGTACGTTCGCGCGATTTATCCGGCGCGGCGGACAACAACGTTTAACGACGACGCCTTTGACGCTGTCTAACATCGCCGTGAACACAACAGCGCCTTTCTCTAATTGCATTTTCTACTGCCGTCGACAAGGCGCGCTTTCGACTACTTGCCTTTGACGTTCTACGATGCGTTCGTGCGAGTTTCCTTACGCCAGGATGCGCCCTCGGGATATTCTAACGTCGCAAACAGCCCAATTATACGGGTATCCGGAGATTATTGTCTTCTGTCGCATAATGCGCGCACATAAGTGCTATATACGCTTAGTAATTGCGAATCTTATTGACGCGTCAACGTAAACACGTCTTGAATATTAATTAATCAATTTCTTAACAAATTTGCAAAGATCATAAAACTTTCTTACCGACGCGTTCAATACTAATATTTTAAATATTACATTTAATCAAGTTTGTTTGAAGAAAGTTTTAAATTTCTAATAAAGACCACGATCTTCTTTTATTACGAAATATTTCTTATGTTATTCGCATAAATCGCGGTTAATCGAATCTTGCAATTTATTCACAATATACATGAATATAAATAATGTAATAATTGAACTGTTCAATCTAATTGCTAAAAGTATATTAATTAGCGTACAGGTGCGAATTAATATGCGCGCCAAACCATAAACACACCAGTTTCACCACCCGAGTCTCGAAACTGCGAAAGTTTCGCACCTACCACCTACGTCCGGAATATCCGCGTACGTACGAGAGGCGGGTTAATAAACAGCACATGAAATCTTCCATTAAGCGAATCGCTCTAGCTTGTGCAATTAGCGCTGGCCGTAAATTAGATATCGGCTTCCGGTCAAGCGCCACGGCAAGAATACGATGTGCACCGCGGGGCAGTGTGGTGCCGGCGCGCACACGCGCGAATTCAATTTATACGTGGGCATTTAATCGCGCACCGTGTTTGGGCAGTTTAATCGTTTTAACGCCCGTCCCCGGCAAATTGGATGTATGCGCGGATTAATTACGTTTGCCCATAATGACGAGATCGCAGGACCGTAAACGTCGCGCCGTGAAATTCAGTAGAAAGTAACGATCCGATTACAAAGATTAATTTGTGTACACGGGTGCGCACATACACGTGCCGGACACTATTTTGTCGACGAAAAAAAAAAAAATTAATATGACCCCTCATGTTTGAATTGTCGTTCGCTGATAAATCGCTTTGAGCCACCGATAAATATTTAATTATGTTAATATTTGAATATATGCTATCAGTTGCACGTATGCGCGGCAATAATTCGGTGAAACATTTCTAAATACTCTCTCGGCGCGGCTCCGCGCGTGCTTAAATATTAATCCCGTTACTATATCACTGCGTATCGAGCGGAGCGATCCTTACCTTGATCCTGGGCCCATTTAATAAGGGAAGGAACGTGCGCGTTGGTACTGGTGGAACAGTCCTCGAAACGCGCCGACGAATCCAGACCAACGGTCTCGTAATTGGCTTTAACTCCGCAAAGCAGTGCCGTCGCGCATGCCGACGATTCGCCAACTTGGGCGTTCATGTTGTACGTCTGGAAACAAGATAACAGAGATTAATTGCGTATTTTCGCGTAATCGTATTGCGGCAATTTAACGGGAACTTTTGGCATAAGCAATTTTTGCCATTGCAAAAAAATATATTTCTTGGTAAAATATGGTTTATGTAATTGTCTGTTAAATAAAATTATGTCAAATTTTTACGTTTCTTTTGATCTACAGATTTTTTCATCAATTCTTTTTCAGCGAAACTTCATTCATGTGAACTTAAAATTAAATCAGAGATACGGCTTTGCTATTTATTTATCTATAAAACACAGATTTTATTTTTATAAATCAATTCTCCAATTGTGTTCGCTTATTGTAAGATTTTAAAAAATATTTTGTTATTTCCGTTATCATGATGGATGTCATGGAAATGTTTATAACAATTATAACAAATTTCGCGCGGTGATAAAATCATTCACGAAAGTTTGCCGCTACAGAAATGCGTAACGCCAGAAATAATTCTTTCAAATTCAAACAGACTTTAATTGTGCATTCCATATTATCAAGTATCGCAATTCTGTTTGTCCGCAGTTAATATGGCGCCGTGGTCACGTAAATAAGGAAGTTCCATATATCAAGTGCCGCAGCGTCTGGAGCATCGGGGAAGGAATGATAAGTTGCAAGGTAAAGGGAAATTCCGACGTAAGTGGACACCGCCCTCGCGCGTCATGACTGGCGATTTTCGCCGAGTAACAGGATGGAGTGATGTGGGTCAAAGAGTGACACCGCTGCCTAAGAACCGCATGTTCTCAGCGCTTCGGGGTAAGCACCGGCAACGAGTAAATGGATGTTTCCGTCCATTGGTTCGCGCGAGCATGCTTCAAGCTCTGATGAAAGCGACAGCTGTAGTCTACGACCGCCGCCTATTTTCGTAGATAAAAATTGCACGCGGTATTATTTTCATGCCTCAAATTCATCCGACGGTGCATCTAACACACACACACACACACACACACAAATAATATTTTTAGTAGAAAATTTCATGAATCTATAGAACATACCAAAATATAAAATACAAATATATCAAGAGGTAACAAAATATCGATAAAGTTACTGTTATTGTACACGATTCGCATTGATATTATTTTGTTTTTTTCCAAAACAATGATATTATTACGGTTTTCTCCGCTGCCTGTCACGAATCAATCGCTAATAATCGATCCCGATTCCAATGGCGATTCAAATGGCAGCCGAAGTGCACACGTATGCATAAATCGCTCGCAGCGCTGTTCGAAGGCGACTCGGTTATGCGTAAAATGACTTCCGGCGGTTTTGTCATTGTTCGACAAACGTGTTTGGCTTTCCCTCCGCTTCGCGGGGAGCCAATTGATTCGCTCAAGTGTACGTCCTTATTTCCCGGCGCCGATGATCGTTCCATTCGGCTGGGAAATGCCGAACTTCGCGCAAGAACATCCATAAAGCACACTCGTCATTATCATACTGAAAGCCATGCATCGCCAATTCAAATACCGCTGCGGATTAACTGCAGGGCCATACGACACGGTCGGTCGCCAAGTGGCGGTAAAGTAGAACGCCCGGAGCCGAAATGTAGTTCGCGATAGCGAGCAAATCGTCTACCAGGCAAACACGCCGCGTACGCCAATATTCTCAGTGCGGAACTGTGAGGGCAAGGGACAAAGCGGTTGTTGATATTTGAAGATAGAATTGAAAACTCGAAGATGCATTTGGATGTCTCAAAGAGAAGAAAAAAAACTCGCCAGCACGATATTCTCTGCAAGTTTATAGTTTGATTCTTCCACACACGCGGAAATTGCATTTTTGAAATACTATTAGCAGTAAGAAAGGATATTAAAATTTTTGTCAGAGCAATAAGAGAAAATATAACTATAAAAGATACCACATATTCTATTCGACCGCACAATACATTATAATAAAATTTAAAATACACATGATGCATAAAAAATACGCTCTTTTGCGTAATAAAATTTTTCTTAATTTTGATACAGTAGACATTCTTGATGAATTATTATATTTTGAAAATAATATAATACTTTTTCTCCCTATGTTATTTTTTGCACATTGAATACGATAAATGTTAAAATCATGGTCGGCATTAAGCCGTCCGAAAGCATCGCATTTCCGTCTCGCATGCGCATTGCCGATTCGCTAGATATGCGAATGGAGCGTTTACCGTATCCGAAATGCGGCGTCGCAAAAAGATGACCTAATATCAGCGAATACCAGAAACCCGCGCGATATGCAGCGATATCACACCGGCTGATTGCTCTCGATAGGCACGGAGATGCCGTAGATTATCGTCGGCCATTATCGGGCGGCGCTTTTATCGCGTGTTCCACGACGGTCACGTCGATAAGATAAATTCGGAGTCGCGGAGCGAGTGTCTGCTGGCGTGCAGGTGAGAACGTATGCGGCGCGACGGAGCTGCGGGGAAACGCAAATCGGGATCGTCGGGAAATAGCCGGAAGGAGCCATGCAGGCGGACGACAAGTGCACTCCGGAGGAGAAACAGCAAAGTGTCTCGTCGTCGGACAACTCGCGACTGAGCGTGCCGGACGGATGGCCATTCAGGAAAGCAAAGTAAGCACCACTTCGTCACGTAGTGACTGATATAAAGCCCCCGAGGTATGGCGGTACTAGGAGCAATCGACGTGCGACCGACATTAGGTGCGGCTCGTTCCCTCGCCGTTTTCCTCTCTCACATTAGCGCGCGTACGAGAGAGCACACGGCTATACGAATACACGGTGGTTCGCTCAATTTTACGATCCTTTATCATGTTCCGAGCAAGAACTGTTCGTTCGAATAACGAGAATAATTAATATTTTTAATACAAACACCCTTTAAAACCTTGCTATTTAACAATAATAGTACCGCTTGGCAGTTTTCGCTTACAAAGAAAATTGTAAGAATTATACGATGTTATAAAATTGTATGTGATCCATCTTGTATCTGCTTCATTTCAATATTCAATTGTTTCATCTCTAAGAAAAATTAAGAAATTAAAAGATTAGAATTACATTAAAATCAGAGATTGCGATTAGATTAGATTACAAAAATAGAATTGCCTTTCTATCTGCTTTTCATTGTGGCATTAATTGCGTAATTCAGATACAATAATCAGCTTTGATAAAACGATAAGAATGCACTATGTTATCGTACTTTGTTATTCATGCTTCTTTTTACTTTTACACTTTACTTTCAAACGCGAGCCTTTTATTCTACTTTATACTTCGCCGTTTATGTAACACATTGCGACATATGGTTGGTAATATTTTTCTTTCCAGCTCTGTATTATTGCTTTTCAAGCAAAGGTATTCCCTTTCAATCCGAAGCCGCCGCAATACTAGTTTCAAAATCTCGTTTTCATCATAATTCATCCTCGCGCCGTGAACCAATCTCGAATGAGACCACTCTTGCGACAGAAACTCTCATTCCAATCGCGATTACTACGTAGAATCGAGTTTACCGCACTCGCATAAAGCGATGCGATCGAAGAAGCGTTACGAGACGTCGTTATCCATTCGTTACTGTATTATTTATTTCTTTCTTCCTTCCTTTTATTTTTATTATCGAGATCCTCATACGGCGGATCCGATAGTCCTCTCGCGTGATTATTCTCGCAGCCGCGCATAACACACGGTCGGTGTAATTGTCGGATAGCCGAAGAGTTCGGGGGTTTGTGCGGCACAGGGCTGGCGGAGTGGATTTATATTCATAATACCGGGGAGTTGTGGAGGCCGTTAGGCGCAAAATGTTTTAGAGCCCAAAGTAAACGCGCCGCAGAGTCCGCATATAGTAATGCCGGTAACTCACTTCTCCCACGACGAACATTTGTCTCGTAATGGCCACTGGCTCACCACGTTTATGACTAGTTCGTAAGCGCCCCACGGTGGTTTTGTCACATCCGTTCTGTATTCTACCTCTCCCCCGCCTCCCCACGTGTCCCCTGCATATTTTGAGTTTGCGGTGATTGCGCGGTGTGGGTGAGCGTGTCATGTCCATATATTCGTTAGTGCATCCATTCATGAATGCCGCGTCCAAGTCGTTCCCGATAATTTTTGTATTTCTATTTCAGTATGCCAACTCTTTAGTTTCTTTCCCGTCTTAAAGTTTTAATCATCTCGGAGTCGCGTTCCTTTTTTTCCTCACTAATACGACTTTTAATGGGATTAATTCTGCATGTAAGCTCGGGTAAATTTATAGAACGCGCGCGAACAATGGTTCTGATTTCTGATATATATAAAAAAAAATGATTAAAGATGATTAAAATTCCTTTCACGAATATACGGGAGGAAAGCTGAGTTACTTCTTGAGTTACAAATGCGAGAGATAAATTTTACAAATTTTAGAATGCAGACCGTGCTGGGTTTTATTATGCTCTTTAGCATTAAAAATATAGTGACACGCGCGATGCTGCACAAAACAACACGAAAATTTCCACATCATCAACCTAACGACAGTAAAATAAGAGTGTTTCGACGATACGCGAAATGCTGTCGCGATGTAGAACAGAGCACACACCGAAACGGCAAGATATCAATGACGCATATCTGGGACAGAAATTCAGTACGTGTGCACACACGGATGGTGTATTCGTTGTTACACATTGTGTGTCACTCGTCGCAGGCGAAACGTTGCAAATACACGCTGCTGTGTCACTCGGATGTGTGACTAATGGCATACAGACTATCTAGTGATTGTTGGATAGCGAAGTAAATGGTTCCCTGTCGTAGAATGAATCGATAAGTTCATAAGAACGAAGAGTAGCTATTTTCCTAAATAGGTCAAAGAGTCCATAAACAATTTCCACAGATGTTAAAAGAAAATTATTACAATATTTGCAGTTCAATATTATTATTGTAATCGTTATTTATAAATAATTTTCAACCGGCTAGAAATTAATTCGAATATTATATGCAAATATTGCGGGTATACACATAATATTACGAGTACCATGTGCACATGTTTACTCCATCAAATTAGAGCGAAGTGTTCACGTACGAAATTTAGCTGCGGTTCAGCAAAACTTTTAGAACACAGATTCACGCAAGGGCTAAGCGCGTCGAGACTTTATAGGTCTATTCGATGTAACAGCTCAACATCCACTCGCGCTATCTTACACAATACCGCCAATTTAGTTTCGACCGGCGTAGCCGGGCGATCCGCCGCGGCGGCCGTAATCGCGGCAACTCGCAAAAGTTGGATCACGCGCGTACGTGCGGGCGCCGCGGCGAACCGATAAAATACCGTAGAGTCCGTAGGCGGAAGTTCTCGATTGCGATCTAAGTTAAATCAAATCTAAATCTAAATTAAATTGACCGCTGTATGATGCCGCGGTGCAGCCCGAGTCTCACGGCTAAGAAGGATATCCGTCTGCGTAAGCGCACGTGAGCGGAAAGTACGAAGCGGATCGGTACACGCTTTTCCGAGAGGGGAAAAAAAGGAGGGAACGTCCTCCGCCTTCATCGTCTTAAGAAGAGAAATGCTTCGATATTTTCCGCGAAATCAGCTGCAAAGAGGCAAAACGTTTCAGAAAACGCCCGCTTCTTTTGCTCCCTTTCCCATCCTCGTCGCCTCGCCCTGTTCTTTTTCTCTTTCCGATGCATCGCTCGGACCATTCATTCACCCGCGACTGTCCTCAAATTCGAGATTCTGCAGCTAGCTGCCGCCTAATTACGGAGAGACGCTGCGCTAAATGCTACCAGCATTTATTCCGCCCGCAATGTCGCGCACTTATATACCTACGTTGGTGTGCGGCTAATATGGCTGACGTGCGTGTTTATACGAAGCTCGACTTCTTGCTCTTGCGCACACAAAGCTACGGGACAATTACGCAGAACGATGAAAATTATCCATTTCCATATTTTCTCCAACAAATACACCAAGCTTACGGTAATTAGTCTATTTAGACGAGCCGTCAGCGGTTTTTAGTTGAATATTTCTTTAGTTTTATTTAAAATATTCTATTCATTATCTCCGTTCATTTACAAGTTCTTTCATCGGTCTTGTTAATTTGCTTTTGAAAAATGCTGAGGTATCAAATGTTTTAATTTGCAGTAAAATTTTAATAAGAACAGTTATTAATCTTAGTCTTTAGCGACTCTAAAAATGGAAATATTATAGATTTTTAAGGCATATACATTTAGTAAATTAAAAAAAAGCGTAATAATAAACATCGAATTTAAACTAAATAATTAAGCGCAAAGCAATAGCTAAATTTTGCATTAATGCTTTTACAGTCGCATAGTACACAATAATTCTTCAAAAAGGAAAATATGTCTAAGAATTTTTATTATTAATTTTCGCTCAATATTAATCAGTATTGATTCAGCCTTCCGAGAGTTAAATGAATTGATTTAAAATTTTACTTGAAAGTATCGATTACCGCACTTTATCTCTTATTAAACTTTCCCTCAATCTATTGATTACAATTCTGCTGCGAAAGTGTTTTTCTTCAGAGAACCTAGAAGGATTACTTTCTTTAATTAAGATCCGACTAATATAAATAACTGTACCGACTTGCCCGCCATTTCATTCCGCAGCTGTTATTAATGGCGGAACTGCGGAATCATTAGTTTTTCGCATCTCGTGCAATGCACTGCAGTAAATTTTGTTACCTGCGTTATCTCGTCGCGAGCCATATCAAAACCGTTCAAAAGTTCCAGACATTTCAACAATTCTTCCATGCACTGTTAATACCACAGCCTGTTATTTCCACCATTAATGTATAGAACGCAATCGACCAAAAAGTTAAGCATCGTTTTAGCTACCTTTGGAATAACATTACCAACTTTCTATAATAAGATAACGCGAGAGCGCAATATTACAGTCATCGCGATCTTAATTAGCCGTTATTGTTGAAGCAAGCTGAATTTCGTGTTGTACCTCGCAGTGAAATCACGAAACGCGAGATATCACATTATCGCGTCAGCTTTGAATAACGTTATAATTCTGATATTTTTCTATTGTTAAATTAAAAATATAAAATATTTCTTTAACATTTTCTAATAATATTTTAACAGGGATTTGATCGATACCCAAAAGGATGTGAAGCTTGATCTCGATATCACGCTTGATCTCGACCCGTTCGCCGAAGAATATAACATGAACCATAAGAGAAGAGGAGTAGCGCTCGTACTGAACCATGTTAACTTCGACAGCATGAGCGCGCGGAAAGGATCCATAAAGGACTCCCTGGATCTTAAGGCATCATTAGGCAGACTCGGGTTTGACGTTCGGATTTACACCGATCCGACGGTGAAAACCATAACTACGATCTTGCAGACGAGTGAGTATAATATGCCTGTAACTCAATCGGGTATAATTATCGCGCGAAGGCTGGGTCTGTTTTAGTAATAAATCAAACAAGATGGAGATGAAGCGTGTGCTTCACATACCGCTGAAATAATAAACGCGCGAGGCTTGCGCTCTAACGTTTGGGAAAATGCCGGAAATGGAGAGACGATATCATTATTTCCGTCCATTTGCGATATTGCAGACTGACGCAACTATGTCGTTAGCTCTGTGTACCCTCTTTTCTTACCTTCTTACAATGAGCGCGCTTTCCTCCCGTCTCTCATCATACAAAATGTAAGAAAGCGATAGAGTTTTCTTGAGACAGGGAGAAAATACAGAGTGTCTCAGAATTTCCACCCGCTTCTTGCTTTTAATCATAAACTCTTTGAAAAATGTACACTCAATTATACTTTTTTAAAAAGGGAAGAGTGCAACTTTTTATTGTTCAATATTTTAATTCAATCCTGAGGCAGAACGAGCCTCTTCGTTATAAAATACAGTATATGGCGATTTCGGTCCACTCGGTACATAGCACTTCAATCAATTTTACTTAGTAAACGGTCGGAAAGCATCAGAAAAAAATAAAGAAGAGATAGATGAAAGCATTTCAAATAAATTAATAATTGCCGGCGTAAACTCTTTGTAGCGGGCGAATTTGTCCGGCGGTTAACGCGGAGCGGATAATGATGCGCGCGCAGAGAGAAGGAAACCCCCGGCGAGAAGTTATACAAACATTTTACGACGAAACGAGCTCATTAAACGTCTATTCGTCGCAGCGAACCCGAGTTCCTCAACAAATAACTAACAAAGCAATCTCGTGAATACGGCTGCGGCAGGTGCCTCGCGTAAAGTGAGGCGGAAAGTCCGATGATTACGGAACTTCGTGCTGGATAAGAAAAGTTTTCGCGCCTTTCCTCGCTTCAGCGCGACACGATGCGCCCTATCAAGCCTAAGACGCCGTACTCATTTATCGCTCGCTTCCGCTTCTCACCGTGGCAGGATCGCGGCCTCACGCTTCATGTAACACGTATGCATCCGAGAGAAGTGGCTCTTGCAACAAGTCGAACAAATAATTCGAGTTGCATAACTGAATACTCGGTAAAAAGAATATACAGATATCGATCTCGCATAGTTTGTATATCGCTCGGATAATTGTACGAAATAAATGCGTTGTAAGAAAAAACAGGAAGAGAAAACACCGAAAGTTAGCTGCATAAAAACATGGTGAATTATTGCTCGCTCCATTTCTCTCGCAAATAAAGTGGACTTCCATCACTTTCTACTGAGAGAATCCCGAGCGATGCAACGCGAGAAACTTCTGTCGGGTTCTTTTCCGCAGCTAGACTACACGTATTCGATTACCGAATCGAAAGTATCGGGGGTATCGAAAGAGCGTCCGTTTACTTTGAAAAACCGCGCGGCCAGCGCAATGTTATAACCACGCTGTCACATAAATAAACCACCCGGGCTTCACTATTTTGCGCGACTGCCCTTCCGCCGCTCGCAGTGCTTTAATTTTGTCTGGCAGCGTTCCCACGTAAGCCGCGGCTTCCTCGTTCCGCGAGTTTCACGGACGCGAATCGACTGCCGAACGCGGACCGAACTTTTCAATCGAAGCAGTTCGTGTATTGTTGTAGCGCTTCTTTCTTCTTCTTCCATTTTTTTTTTTTTTTTTACCTAACTAACAATGCGAGAAGTACACGTTACGCCGGCTACCGCTTTTCTCCTTCATGTACCAGCGACTCTTGCTCTTCATCTAAGTTGCCACGATCCGGTAAACGTACCGATAACGCAACATAGTGTGCACGTGCACACACGTACATGGAGAAAATAATCTACTAAACCAAAGTTCTTTCGAAAGATACACTGACAGCCGATACTAAAGTCGGCGTCAGATTTTATGTGTGTGTGTATGTGTGTGTAATGGAAATGTTACTTAATAAAATTTATACAATTAAAAGCACGTTCGAAAGTTGTCCATTAAGAATTATTTATTATAATAAAATTATATCATGATAAAAGGTAAAATTACACAGAAACATAAATTGAAACTTTATATTGCAACGATGTATTAAATTTTTTCCACGAAGAAAGCAGATATTTTTCAAATTCCATTTAATGAAGGCTTTAAAAACAATTAATGGTCATAAACCAGACATTAAACCAGCTCACATAAAATTGCTGATATATATATCGACTGCTTTATCGCGCACTGAGTTCGTTGAACAAATATTTAACGTGCGCGTTATAAAAAAAAATTTTTTAAATATAAAGAAATCATTAACTTTGTAAAACGACTCTTTCCGATAATTTTCCAAATATTTTCAAAAACTTCATCATTTCTAAAGTAATTATTTGAAAGCAAATATTACAACTACTTGCACGTAAACATGATATATTCAGAAAATCGTTATCAGAAGCATTAACTCTAATTAACGTACTCAAATTGTTTTGATTTCATTGAGTAACAATAGAGTATTACGTTTCAGATGACTTTGATAAAGCCAGAAATAAAGCTGAATTCTCCATGTTGCACCCCGCGCAAACCGAACAATCATCGAACACAACTGTGCGAACAGGACAGACGCTGCGCGAGCCATTGTTTTTTTTCCACAAGTTTTTCGTTTCCCGATTTCGCGAAAAAAAAAAGGGAAAACAAGTTTACCCCGCGCAAAGAATCGAGTATGTCGAGCGCGGCAGATGTTACGCTGAATAACGAGTCGCATGCGAGACGGCGCACAACACGCGACACACGTCGCCCAAGCCCGCCGTCTTCCTGGCGCGTCCCGCGCCACGCCATGTACCAATCGCAAGATATTGCGGCGGTGAGAGCAAACATTTGCGTCGAATAGCGCAACACGAGCGCACGCAGCGATGCACTAGCACGTAAAGCACTCCCGGATGTTTGCCGACACTTTCCGCCGAAAATGTCGACACCCGCCACGATATCGTGCTTTGACGAGCTCGTCACGGCTTGGCAAGCCGTCTTTCGCGACGGTGCATCTGACAGCCCCGCATCTTCAGAAATAGCGTATGCCCTCTACGCGGAGGACTCTAGAATTAACGCGTCGAGTGTCAAACATTCTACCTTAGACCCTACCTAGATGAGAATCTGTTCGAAGATGCAAAAGCGTTTCCTTTCCTTGTGCAACATTTTGTTAACAATAACGATTTTTAAATAGAATGTTAAAACAGTTTGCGTACTTTCTACGCACAAAAAAAAAACATTCGCCGGAAATGGGCGAGTAGTTTTTTTATCACGTTTAATATCGTCTCCCAACTTTCGGTACGCGCGTCTGCAATTTGGCAAAAATACGCGGAGACTATTGCATTTTTTCTGCTTGGCAACATTCGAGCCATACAAGTCTCAACAAGCCCCTCAAAAACATCCGTTTTCTCAAGTTGTAATCGACAGCTTCACAAAGTGGTGTAGAGTCGCACTTAAAGCGTAGGATCCCAGCGTTAACGCGACAAGTGCAAGCATCGCGAGCATTCTACTCCGACGAAGAAGCTATTGCGGCAAGAGCCGAGTAATATTTTCTTAATATCATCTCCCGTAACGCTCGCGCCTGCAACGCAAAATATACGGAATTTACTTCTTCTATTAGGTGATATTCAACGAGCTGCACGCCGCTTGACAAACTCGTTAAGTACGACAGCTATTTTTCGACGTGGCAGTCGATAATATCATGCATACAGGCTTATGTTCGGAGCGGGCGTGTCAACGTGTCGAACGCAGATGCCTTGAAATGAGAATATTCCACTCTCCGTGTAGAAATGTATTACATTCGGAGCGGTCGCATTACATGTTTTCATACACGCGCGCTCGCACATACGTTTTGCGCAAGTTCCTCCACAATAGGGGAGGGGGGAGGGGGTATAATCCTGTTTTAACGTACGTATAATCCTGCACGGAACGCACCACCGCGTCTATTTGTTCAGACTGTATTGTGCAATATTAAATCGTTTCTACTTTTAATCCTAAACCACTTCCAGTTTTGGTCTCTATTCCTGAGATCAGTTTCACTGTCTGCCAGCCCCTTGTACGACCATAAAGCGCTTCTACTACTTCAGCCGGTACTGTGCAATCCTAAACCACTTTTAGTTCCAGTCTGTACAGCTTTAAACAACTTCTACGCCCAGCGAGTGCTGTACGATACTCTTCTACTTTCAGCAATTTAGCTCCGTAATTACGGCCAATTGTATAATCAAGCGCACTTCCTGCAACGTCATCCTCTGTATTTAATAACCAAACAATCCATTTCCACGATACGATTATTCCGGTTCGATATTTCTCGACGGTTGAAACGATCCAGAATACAGTGGGACAGTGCAATCAAGAGGATAATTACAAAATCGTTCAGTTTTTCTATGAAGAAATATTCCATATTGAAAACGAGAGGAAGAAAATGAGAAAACGTGGCTGTTGCGAGCATCATTCCACGTAGCCATCCCACGTAAATTACCTATTCCGCATAGATCCGCGGAAACCTGGTTTACATACCGCGCACGAAGTACACTGTGACTGTAAAAATGCAAACGTTGCGTCAAACCGAGCGACATTTTCCAGTTTCACCGATGCGCACGGCCGCAGCGGCGTCATAAACGCCGAGATCGCAAAAGAGCAAAAGCAAATCCTCACTCCCGTCCTAAAAAAAAACGAAAAGAAAAACAAACACACGCAAATTGTCCTCGTGTATTTCGAAATTCAGCGCAGCGCACGCGCGCGCGGTCGGAGGATGATTATGGTCGATATTTAGCAGAGTCGACGATGCCGCACGGCGAAACGATTCAGAAAAAAAAAAACAACAAACACTATATCCCGCCGATTGTCAGCGCGACGATCCCGGCGGATTCGGTAGAGCCAATCACCCACAGAACGCAAAACAGTGCAAAACAATGTGATTTAATAATTCTATACATACGCGCGCGCTTGTCGTGTTTATTAACAAGAACTCGTTACAGATACAAATGCAACGCGTTTGCCATCGGCGAGACTTTACGCGTTCTGAAAGAATAATTACTATCTACGTGAACAGTTCCAAATTGCGGAGGCACTTACTGACAACAAAAATTAGATTGGAAATGATTGTCCAGAGAAACGTA